AACCAATAGAATGCACATATACTTATGAAAGAAAAAATGGTGTGATTTATATAATCACTGCACTGTTTGGATTGATGGGTGGTTTAATAACAATTTTGAAACTGATCGTGCCGACATTAGTCAAGTTAATAAGAAAAATACGACGACAACGACGACAACGACGACAAATACCAACATCAGAATCCGGTAAGAGAAACACATAGTGATCGATAATTTACATAGACGGTGAATCATGAAGACTATTTGAGAATTATATCTCGATCGAATTCGAGTGCTATAGACGCACAGTGGGCATTTTTTGCTAGAGCAGGCGGACTTAGCTTTATGAGTGAACTAAAATTTCATGAACCATTTTTTTGTAGGTTTTCCATGATCCTCTTTCTAATGGCATGAGAGTTGGGTTTTAAAAAAGTTTTCTAAGGGGTTTTCCAGAGATCGGATCTCTGGAAAACCCCTCAGAAAACTTTCTCAATATTTAGAAACGATGCCACTGAAAAGAGCATTGTCGAAAACCTATAGGAAACATGTTTTGAGTCGTTCAGGTTGCTTTATCTTGAAATGCAAATTTTCAGCACGGAATTGTCTCTATGAATCTCAAAAACTAAGAAATTTCTGGAATTTAGAATCGAGCGGCCGAAACTAGATGAGTTGTACACCATTCGATGCAGTTTTTCACGCTGATTCCGAATATGACCTTATTGTTCGGAAAACGAACAGTTTTGGTAGGGAAAACCGCGAAATACCTCGAAATCCCTATGGGTTTTGAAAAATCCTTAACTCGACTTAAACAAAAAGTCGCAAAAGGTTGCTTGCAGAGCAAATAGAGTAGGTCCTGGGGAACGTTTTCATATATTTGAATGTTAGTTTCGAGTGGGGCTAACGGGGACCAGTCGACTATACTGAGGTAGTCTCATGTGGAGCTGACGTTACGAAAAGTGTGTGAGGTGTAAGTTATTGAATCTAGCTTCGAAGTAGACACATTTTATTATTAAAAGGGAGCTAAGGAGACGCTGATTCTGAATATGTGAGTTTAAATCGGTTAACTTGGACGAGTGAGCAAGGAGGTACTGTTTTGCACGTATGTGCCACGTCTTTTCAATGTCCACTACGCCGCTTTTGTGCCCTATTTTTTGCTCGAAGGAGTCGATATCAAAATAGACATTTATACACCATTCGATAGCATTTTCCACTATTCGTATTTGAAATAAAACGAAATTCACTTTTTCGCCTAATGTCCGCTTGAATGCCCACTGTGAGACGGTGTCTTACCAGATCGAACTCTATTCTTTGAGATGATTATTATTCCAGTATAGGGATTTCAACTTCTAAAACATCGATTCACATGTCATATTTCAGGAAATTAAAAACTGGAGGCAATAAGTATACTCCAGAGCTGCGTTGTTGTGTCATAACAATATCATTTCATATGAATTAGCGATATATCGAAAAGTTTCGGACCAGATATTTGCTAGTTTTTCACTCTTTTTTTATATTTTAGACGAGTTAAAAACTGGAGACTAGGATCAGAGTTTTGTGCTCTTTCAGAATATGGTCTGAGAAATTGGTGAATGCTGAGCAAACAGTCATTTACGATCTTCATAAGTCTTCTTCAAAAAGTGTTAAAAATCGTTTAATCATATAAGTTTGTAGAGGGGATGATTTTTTACGAAATATAATATTAAACTAAAATGTAGCTTTTACATAAGTGAAACTATAACCATTTTTGCAAGAGCTATATCTGACAAAATCGATTTTTCAAAAATACAACTGATAGGAAAACAGCAATTTAGATATTTTATCAAAAGAAAAAAATATAAAGTCAAATACAACATTTTGTAGAACAAGTTTTGCTCTATAAACTAATATGCGAAGAAAAGTTTCAGCATTTCGTTTTGAATACTAGTTGTGAAAATACGAAAATGAGCAAAGAAATTTTGCGTCCAAACTATCTTTTGAGTCCATTCAAAGATTTTTTCACTACTCTCAAGCCATAAGAGATACAGGATTTTTGAGCCCATATTCTGAAAGAGCACAAAACTCTGATCCTAGTCGCTAATTTTTCACTCGTCTAAAATATTTTTTAAAGAGTCAAAAATGGGCAAACATCTTGTCCGAAAATTTTTTGATATATCGTTATACGGTCATATTTCATTACACAAGATCGTTTACGACCGTGCTTGTTCGGCGCGGGAGCTTTCGACAAGTATAGGATAGAGATCTTCGGTTTTCATCGTTGAAAGAGGAGATGCAGATATATTGAACCATATATAAAAAGATTTTTCTGGCAACTTTTTTGAAGATTTCATGCAAAGCTTTTAGAAAAGTAGCATATCATTCATGATTGTGATATTAATTTATTGATTTTCAGAAGTGCTCTAAGAACTGCCAAACAAAACTACGCCAAAATTCTATCGCTAACTACTAGTAGTGACATATCTGAGCTATTGGAGCACAATTTTCCGCTTATTTTCGTCAAAAAAAAGCAAGTGAAACTTGTTAGGTTTTGTTGTATGTTCGTAGAAAAATCACATTTTTTTATCGTTGGCCAAAGAAGCAATTTTTTAAAATCGTTTAATTGAAACTCTTAAGGAAATAGTTAAAAAAAAGTCTTTTTTATCTATGGTTCAATACATCTTTATCTACTCTTCTTAACAATGAAAACCACAACTTTCTATCTTATTCCTATCAAAAAGTTATTCAAAACATACTCACAGTCATTTAACTCTGAAATCAATTATAGATCAATCACAGTAGTCTTGAAATCGAAAAGCTTGATCGAGTCAAAAACTTTCTTTCAACTATTCAATATATCTTCGTTGTCTGATGCACTCTTTGTCCTTACCTATGTCTTCCTTTCGAAAAACGAATTGTGGATTTTTACTTATATAATTGACGATCGATATCAGTTTCGTTTTAAATGAGTCAGACCAATCGATAAACATCAAACGACTGGTCGGATAAAATGATGTACCACAATTAACGAATCAAACATTCAACTAATTCTATCTTTACTCTACATACTCAATTACGTGAATAACGTAGAAAAGCAACAAGAGAGATATCAATAATACCCAAACAAAATGTAACGGTTATTATATAATTGAAATTTTATAAACATTCGAATAAATACATACAATAACAACAAAAAAGTAACTTAGACCTAATTAATGTCTTGCCCCACAGTATAGATCTACTAGCATAATAAATACACTGGCACTTGAAAGGACTTGTCGCAGATACTGATCTTATTTTTGACTAGAATGTGTTCACATACAATGAAAACCATTTTTTCAATAATTGATCCCTCAGTTTTTATCTATAAATCTGAAATCCTCACCCTCACCCAAACCTTAGATAATAAAACAAAAAAGAAACAGTTGTAGCGATTTTCTTGATTTGAAAATAAACGAAAATTAGAAACCAATAAGTGATTCATGTGCTATATTTGAATAAAGTTTCATTATATTGAAGTTCTATGTCTAATCTGTACATAAAAAAAGATTATAATTCGGTATATAGTTTATAGACATCTACTAACAATTATTATGTTTTTTATTTAAGAAACAAATAACAATAAACGATTTTCAGACTATTGGAATAAAATAAAACATTTTATTCGAACTTTCAATTTGTTTCCATCTATGCCACCTTCGACTAATAAACTTGATCTTCGAAAGGAACTAATATCAACAAGAATATTCATCTTCTTATTGATTTTCTCATTAACAATTCTTCTCTTGTACAATTCATTAGCCAATATTGCAATGACGATCAAAAAGGAAAATCCAACAGTTGAACAATATTTACAATTGTATGACACATATTCTCAAACACTCATATGTCCATGTACAAACATAACAATAAATTACAAAGAATTTCTTTAAATTAATTACACGTTACATCAAGTTTGTACCAGTGTGTTTGTAACAGAAGAATGGCTTCTATATCTTGCTACAATTTCTTTGTATCAGCCTCTATTTCAAGATGACTTTCTCTTGTTGGGTTATTCAACATTTCAAGCATTATACACACTTTGTGAAATGTCTGGTCGAACAATCTCAACTAGTTTAACTCAATTTTATTCAAATGAATATATTAGTACATTTACTACATCAAAAGACACATTTTTATTAGGCAACGAACCACTGATTAATCAATTTAAATCATCAACAATAAATAATTTTCTTCTTTCTTTCGATTTAATACGAAATACAATGGTAGTGAATCAGATCATGTCGGCCTCTCAATCAAATTACTTCTTTCCTTCTGGCCCAGACATGGATGGTATATTCCAACCTTACACACAAAGTTACTACGGCTGCATTTGTCAGAACTCACCAGAATGTGTCACACAATACCCCGTTAATAGTAATCCTATGACCGCAGCTGGGTTCTATATACCAGATTTCTATTATGGATGTTATATTATGGAAGCACTTCTTCTATCTACTCTTGAATGTTTTCATGATGAAATATGTGTAAATCGAATACAATCATATATAACATATACTTCACCAATGAATGTAACAATTCTTGACTCATCATTATCAAGTCAATATTTTGTTAATTCAACAATACAAGATCTTGTCAATAATTTAATGATGGAACAATGGAATTCATCTATTACATACGAGAACTATTATAATCAATGTCAACCAAAACAATGTACATATACTTATACAACAACGAATAGTGCAATTTCCATTATTACTATACTATTTGGATTAGTTGGTGGTTTAGTGACTATTTTAAGACTTGTTGTACCGCTATTGGTGAATTTTATAGCATGGATTATTAGACGACGAAGACAAAGAATAATTCCACATATATCAACTATTCATAATTAATTATCATTCAACGAATAATAACTATTATTAATTTAAAAAGTAACTTTAATGAAAACTCACAAGAGAATTTCCTCAACTGTCCAAGCACTTTGGATAGAGCATATACTCACTCGACAGATCTTACTAAATTATTAAAAAGTCCAAAAAACGTTTGGTTGTTGAGATCTTTTTGATTTTATTTTGACTTTATTAGAAAAATAGTATTGATTCTATTCAGTTTCTCAAAGGCTTGACATAAAACGTAATATGTAATGAAGAAAATGAATTTTTGCTGAACATGGTAAATAATTGTGTGAAAATACTTTATCGTATTGTTTAATAATTCAAACGCAAATTCAACGAACAGTTTCATCTTAAATTCGCTAGATAATGATTAACTACGAAAAAAGATCAAAAACAATTAATGATAGTTTGACAGATAAAAGCAAATTCATCTTAATCAATTATTTGTCATAAAGAAATCTGTTCAATCGTATTTTCATGAATTAAATTAAATTGAGAAAAAAATCTAAAAAATAACTGAAAATATTTATTGAATTTGTTTTTAAATTATTAAAAGAATTCACTTTCTTAATTACATGTAAAGTTTTATGTCAAACCTTTGAGAAACTGAATAGAAACAATATTATTTTTCTAATAATGTAACAGATGTCGACAATCGAATTCTTTTGAAGATTTTTAATGAATCATTAAGGTCTAATTGAGTAAATATATGCTCGTTCAAAAAAGAAATTTGACAGTAACAAAGATCATCTGATTGACTAAATTTCTATAATCTGATCAGAGATCCGCAACTCGCCCTTAAACTCATCTCCCTAACGCTTCGCCTCGTGAAAATTATACTACGCAAAGTTATACTTTTACATATAGCTTGTCAACCATATGTAACAACTATTTCTGTTATTTCACTAGATCAAACTAATAAAATTCAACACACACAAATAAACACAAAGACCAAAATATGAAAAGATAGAAAAAGAAAATGGATCGATATTAGGTATCATGTGTACTCGACGAGTAACCAATACATTGTTTACTTGTCGTGGATTTAATTGAATACGTCTTGAGTTCACCGTTAATCCATAGACATTGCACTGGCGTTCAACTTTAGTCGAACTTGCTGGAATTGAGAAGATCAAGGGTGCTAATTTCGATAAAAAAAGGAGATATTGATCGATATTCATACCGGAACTTTAAAGAATTGTCATCGATCGATTCCGTATAAATTCAATGGTTCAAATATTTATTAAGTTCATTATTAGATTTATCGTCAAATCCATCGCAGAGATTTCGAGTTGCGTGTCCGTAGACCGACACGTCGGTCGACGGAAATTGATAGACAGTCGTAGTGTCCGTGTGTTAAGTCAAGATGATTCAGGAAGAGTTGAACTAAAGTAGTGAAATAGTAAATAAAAATTTCTGAATTCCACATTTGTTTTACTGATCGGACAAAAGTGAAAAATACAATAATTTAACCAATATTTCCTGTGAGATAATGTACTGAAAATACAAAATTTGAGCAGATTTTGTTTTTAAGATATTTATACATGATTGGACATCGGGCCAAGGGGGAAACAGCGGACTCCAGACGCATGAAGTCATTTGGAGTCAAGTGAAGTCACTTGATGCATTGGAGTTAATTGATGAGGTGGAATCAGGTGATAGGGTGGAGCCCACGAGAGAAATAGCAGAC